GTGGCGTCATATACTTGGTGCGGTACCTGTAGTGATCGTGTCTCCAAGGGAGGTTGTGGCAGTGACAGATACCACAGAGCAGACAGAAACTGGTGGATTGGTACTCTTCTAGTTTTGAGAATTATTGTACATGGTTCTTCCATAGATAAGATCATATTGAAAATTTGATGAATTGAGGACTAATAAAATTTTCTGCTGTCAGATGTGGGAGGAACTGCTGTGCATAAATGAGGATGAGACTGATGTATCAATTTGTTACAGCATGACCAGCTCATCAGTTTAATGAAAGGAATAAATAAGATATTAGGATGTTGCAAATGAGGTATCTTCAGTGTAAGTAGGAAAATGTTATTACCACCGTGCTGGATCATGGTGAGACTTCATTGCTGGCATTCCTTGTCCAGCTTTGGTCACTTGTTGCATGTAGATGTAATACAAGAGAAGACCAGAAGCACTTGTTTCATTTATGTAATGACTGTAAATAAAGGCTGAGAGAGGATATGGCTATAAAAAAATACATACAGGTGGCACCAGTGAGGGATAATAAGTAATTAATTAACCTGATAGAAAATAATAGCATAAATAAAGCTGTTCATAAATAAATTTAGCCTGAAAACTGAAACTCTAGGAATGATGAGATTTTTAGAACACTTTCCTTTAGATGTAGCGATGCAGAAAGCAAAATGGTTTTAAGACAGAGATTTAAGATGATATCAGAGGAATTCTGTTAAGGTTGCCTATGATGACAGATCTTGGGCCCTGGGGCTGTTTTCTGTCCTGTTTTTGTTTAACATATTAATATTGAAAGAGACAAACTGACACTCGAGCAATAAGTGGAGAAAGCTCTGAACACAGTTCCACACCTTTCAGTGTCTGACAAAAAAGAGACAAGTTTGCTTCTGGAGGAGCCTTTAAAACCTCCTGAGAATACTTTCTTCCTGGATTGTTTTTAATTTACTTTAAGCAAGAAATGTGACAGTGACATCAAACACAACCACAGATAAAACTGATATTTAAAATTTTCTGTGTCTCATTGATAGGAGGAAATATGTCAAGGGTGAGTGTCAGGAGGGCGGAGACAGGCTCTTCTCAGTGATGTCCAATGACAGGACAAGGGGCAATGTGTACAAGCTGGAACATTACACAAAAACATTAGGAAAAACTTTTTCACTGCGAAGGTGACAGAGAACTGGCACAGGCTGCCCAGGGAGGTTGTGGAGTCTCCTTCTCTGGAGACATTCAAAACCCACCTGGACACGTTCCTGTGTGACCTACTGTAGGTGATCCTGCTCTGGCAGGGGAGTTGGACTAGATGATCTTTCGAGGTCCCACCCAGCCCCTGACATTCTGTGATTCTGTGATCTGTTCTACTATTCCTGTAGTCCTATAAGAATTCACCTGGATTTATCTATTATTCTAGTAGAAGATGTCCACACAGTAATTTTGAGTGGTTTTTTGATTCACATGAAACGATGTTCTTGTGACAATTTGCAAAAAGAATTTTGATATTGGAAAAATGTTGCTTTTAATCAGTCTTGATTGCAGTAAGGAGTTGAGACACAACTCAAGCTGTGTTAGAAGCAAAGAATATGGTCACAAGCATAGGTATGGAAGAACCATGAAAAAAATGCTGAAAAAAGTGCAGTTATGTATTATCATAAAACTAATAGTCAGAGGTAAGGGGAACTGTAAAAAAAAAAAAGTTAAGGAGGTTCTTTTCTGTTCTTTTGTATTCTTCCTACTGAGACAAGGCAATGGCATCTTCTGAGAGAAATGGTATTTTTTTCAGAAGACAGTTGTACCAGAACTGCACCTTTTGACAAAGACAACAGTGACTGATTGACTTTATTTATAGTACATCTTTATCCCCACTTACAGGTCAAGTAAATTTGGAAGAGGGATTGGAACAGGTTAGATAAAAAAAACAGAGTATGGAGACAACATAATATAGCAAGCCTCTAAGTATCTGCATTGAATATAAAGAACACTTTGACCTAGTAAAACTGATAGTTACATTATGAGCCACCTATATAAACTTCAGTTATTCTACGCTAGTATTTAAACTATAATCTTGTGAAGATGGAAATTGCAGGACAACAAATAATGTTGAGCTGAACATCAGTCAGTGTTATGCCAGAAGCTTTCAGAAGAAAGGGTACTGGCTGCAAAGTCCCCACATGCAGTAAATGTAAATCAAAAGACTGATGTCAGGCAAATTGATGTCAGGAGCAGTCCCTGAGACATTTGATCTATCAAAAAAAAAAAAAAAAGTGAGTAGTGGTAGTGGTCTCTTGCAGTCCGGAATTGATAATAAATTGAAGTCTTTGACCTTCAAAGACATGGAGTATGACTGTGTTGCCCAACCTGTAGTATGTACTGTGAAACTCTTTGAACCCTTTGTTCTTTGATGCTGCCTTCAGAAGGATTCAGGGTGCATTGCACAGTTAGATGTGTGAAATGATGAGACTGCCTAATGATCAACTAACATCTTTCTCAAGCTTCAAATCTTTTCCTGACAAACATTGTTTCCTTTAAAGGTCTTGCATGAACTGTTCACAACCTGCTTAACATTAAATACCATTTCAAACAATCCTAATAAAAAATCTTGTGCACTTTATCATTGCATAACATGAAACATGCAGTCAGCTATTTTAGATTTCTCCTTCATTTTAAGTACACAGACTTTCCATATGACTGGATATCTGCATGCTAAATAGCAGGAAAAAACAGGTAATTTCTTTGTCTGAATAAAGGAAAAGCAATAGCGCTGTTATCAGAGGCAGGCTGAGTGATAGCTTTATTTGGGTTCCAGTCTATAATTTCATCTCCATGAATGACCAATTATGATTCATCTTTCCAAATACCACTTATTTTATAAATCCTACCAGGGAGCACAGCAGTGGAACCGAAGGAACTCTGCCAATGAAGTCACTGATGTGGTTACAATATATCTGCACATACTTTAAGCCCCTTGTTACATGTGTTGAAGGCATGCATTCCTGTACTCTCACATTTAAAGTCCTTTAATTGAGGAAACTACTCCTTGTCTCTTGCATACATTTAGAGTTCTAAAGAGGAGCTACTTTTAAAGTATTCAAGGGATTTAATTGCACCCTTCATACCATACAGTAAAAGCCAGCTTCTATCTTCAGAGACTTTTAGTTTTTATGATGTGAGATGTTTATTTTACCTTGTCATTATGATAACAAGTGCTGAAGTTCTGGGAACCCCTGGTAGGTCTCCGAGTTAGCTTTTAATATTTTTCTTTCCACACTTTATTTTGCAAACTGTGTGTGCTACAGAAAGCGATTCCTTAGTTTGTCTTTACAGTCAGACCCCGGGCACCCTCCACTGAGAATTTGCTCATTTTTTTTCCAGGGCAGTATTGGTAATAGCAGAGTTAATCAACCGGTGAGATCTTTTTCTACTTACACTCTGTAGGAAAGGTAATTTTGTAACTTTGAAAATACACTTTTGGGTAAGTGATGGTGTGCACAGCAAAGACTAACGATAATGTTGGACTTTTATGGATAGCATTAAAGAGTGAAATGCGGATCTTTTGAAATGCTTTCAGCTTTTCTGGAAATTAGACCAATAATTTCATTTTGGGGCAAACATGCAAAGAATACTGGTTAGTTTCCCATGATGCTTTTTCATAATTTTCTTTCTGTTCACATTCCAAATCATCTTTGAATTGTTAGAAGGCAATAGTAGTGATAATACTAGTCAACTGCATTTTGCTTGCTTAAGAGAGACTAACATTTTGCCCTCTAAAAAACCCCACCAACCTACGTAAAAAAGAAAATGAGTAACACACTTGGTTTCATAGGAGGTATTTCACATCATACTGTGAAGCTGTCTAGGCGTGTCTACCATTCTACCAGCTGAAACTTGCCATGGGAAGTTTTGCATTTTTCTCTTAGGAGTCTGAAGAGGTGTAAATGAGGAAATGTTCCTAATCTTTCCTTCATATATCCTTCGCCATAACAACATTTTATGTGTAGTATGTGGGGAAAAACATTTCCATATTCCTGGCAGTGTCCGGAATGAAATGGAAATAGTGTTCCCCAGTATTTGCAGAAGTTCTCCTGTTGCCTCAGGACCGCATGTGCTGCACTCTGCTACTGCTGGTAGCAGGTACCACTGCTGAAACATATTCGCAGTATCAGGAAGCAAACTGGGCAGTTGAAAATGTACTAATTGCTGTGAGTCAGAAGTCCATGTTTGGCTACCATTTTTCTAAACACAAAAGGTTAAACACATTTTAATATGAAAAAAAAGGTCAGAAATAAAAAGCAGAAGGGCTGTCTTATTAAAGAAGAAAAGTTAGATTAAGAATAAGAAAGAAACATTCATGGCACTGCAGCATCATGAAAACTGAACTGGAAGTAGTCAGATACTCATTTCATAAAGCAATTCACAGTCTTGTTGGATTAGACAACACTTAATGGTGAAAAGTATAGAAAGAAAATAACTGGAGACAAAAGTAGTTTGTATTATCACCAAAACTTATTGACTTAAAACCTATAGTATTTGATATGAACGGGCCTATCACCACTCTTTTCAAAGACACGTGGGCCTTAGCCTACTGAAAATTGCAGCAAGTTTCACTTTTCTTTCAGTAGAATGAGAATCTGACGTAAGAGGAAGGAATGATTTGCTAGTCCGTTGTTCAAAACTCAGCATTTTAGCTCTGTAAGGGCTAAACATTTGGGCTTGCTTTCCACATATCAGACACAGTATATGCCGCTATGTGTGGACTAAGAAGTTAAAATCCAAATATCACTTTTATTTAATGATGAACAGTAAAGTTACAATAATAACAGCTTGTGGACATAGAAGACAATTTGTCAAACTTAATAATTTTTTTATTGAAATAGATCTGTCTACAATGATTTCAAGTGACTTGGTGTTTCTGAAGGAATATACTGTGGTACTTTACAACACAATTGCAGATGTTGTTATCAGGTTTCACTTAGGGAGATTTAATGGAACTGTACCTTTCTCTTAGCTTTGAGCTGCTCATGATATTTGTTGGATGTGTCGCCTGGTATTTCTCCTCCCCAGAGGGTAATTCCCACTATGGAATAAGTGATGCCCATGACAAGCAGTGGAAAGCAGTAGACCAGCACAATTACAATGATGTGATACCTGCAATGAAAAAGGATTAAGCGGATAACTGCTTTCAGAGGAGCTCTACCCTGGGAATGAGCTGCTAGAAATCGAGAATGCTACTGTAGCACAAAGCATGTGTTATATTGACTGGCTAGTCCTCGGTGTTTTCACCATCTTTTTGTAAGTCTTGAAGCGCATTTCAAATTTATTTACAATTTAATGCAAGTGCTTTATGGGGCTTCTAGTTCTGATTCTGAACTTGCACTAGAATGGCTCTGTAATTACCATTATTAGTGACTGTAGAATAAGGTATGTTTGTCCGTAGCTTAATTGATTTAATTATGGCACAACCAAATATTCTAAGGCCCAGCTAGGCATTTTGAGCTCTAGTTGCAAATAAAAGAGGAAAACAAATGCCTTTTTTTTTTCTTGGTTCTTTTTTTTTAGAGGAAAATAAGTATTGAATGAAAGAGGAAAATAAGTATTTAACCGATGTATTTATACAAAGGCTCTGATAAGCGTCCTGTGTTACCCAATATACTTTATAGGGCAGATGTGTTGCACGTAGGCAACACAGATCTGTAGCCTATGTGTGACATAGTCATCACTCCTGATGTAAGCACTAAGAAAAAAAAAGAGATAACTTATTGCTTCCTGTTAGTTCCTGGTTAAATGCCATCCTCAGATAAAATCCCAGTGAATGATCAGTGAAGAATCCCCAGCTGTCGCTGAGAATGACCTCACTGCCCTAAAGAGAAATACCTGTGCATGGCTCCTAAAGTGATAAAAATTATGTATGACCAGGCCTTCTTTCACCTGCCTAAAAGAGAGCAAAAGGTCAACTTTTGTGCTGGATGGTTACATAGGCTTTCAGCCTTGAACACAGAGTTCATCTTAAATGCCAAGGAAGACACGAAAGCGTAGATAATGTTTCTATGGCTAGGTAACCACTTATTCCTAATTCTGCAAGAGGCACTATATTCAATTTATTTGACCATTGCTCTACACTTTCAGAAACTGGAACGAACTATAGGTTTTAAAGTTTTCTTATTCGCACTGATAGCTGAGATAAGTAATTGTGGGAGTGTAATAGAATTAAGTGGGAAAATCCAACTGTCTCATGAAGAGAGCCAGAGAAAAAAAGTCCAATTGGGACAGGGAGAGGCTGTAAATATTTTTTTCTTGGTTAGGATGAAAAGGAAGCTTGCTTTGAGTTGCATGTTCTGTCCCCATTTCTGACCATCTCTGTCTGTACGAAAGTAGCCATATTAAGTTAAGCAATGATGGTAAACATGCAGTATGGGATGGAGAACACTTATACAAGTGGAAGAGAATAGATGTCTTCCGCTTACCATTTTAAAAGCTCTATCTTCCTTGCTTAGAAAATTCACGTTACATCTCTCAGTGATCAATGCTGTGAGTTATTCTGCTTGTAGAGTGTCTGCATAATACTCTACAGCTTTTGCCAAAGCCCTTGCAAGCGTAGACGCAACCATGCATAAGTTTAAAAGAACAAAAGCTTACGTAAAATGCTGTTTTGGACCACCTGGCCATGCTACATAGCAAAGAGTTCTCCCAGGCATCACCTTGGTTATGGAGTACAGGCACTGGGGAAAGGCCAACAGGAAAGCCAAAATCCATATGCTCCCAATGACCACCTTGGTAGCAGTTGCAGAGAGCCTAGGTTTCAAGGGATCGATAATAGCCATGTATCTGTAAAAGAAATGAAAACCTGTGCATAAGAAACCTTCACAAATTCAGATGTAACTAGAATCAGCCAGAATTTAGGGCTTGGAGAAGGATAAAAGCAGAGACATTTGTCTTCCTGGAGTTCTTATGGCATTTTGCTCTTTGGGTGATTCAGCCCCTATGAAGGCAGTGCTGGAAGAAAAAGAAGGTTCACCGAATATTATTTTAAAGCTGTGGGACACCCAGTTAACCATAAGTATACCAGTTGTGGGATTAAGGCACTTTTGCCTAAACTTTAGTTCTATCTGCAAGGCAGTCATCTTGGCTAAAACATTTCCAGAGTTCTTAGGCCTCGAAAACTAACCATTCTCACGGCATTTGTTGTGGGGTAAATATATAAAATTACTTAATTGCCTACATAGCATTGTTCACCTTTTAGAACACTGAGAAATTTTCCATGACAACATGTAGCTGGTGTATACAGAGGTCTCCGCACAAAGATTCCCAAATCAAACTTAGAGGTCAGTAGCATCAAGTAAGCTTGATCGTTCTGTCCCTAAGGGAAAATCTGACGGAGCATGGAAGGTTGTGGAAACACCGTGCTCAAGCTCTGTGAACACAAAGGAACCTGGAGACATTAAGGAGCCAGTTGACTGCACATTTACTATACTGGTCCAAGAGTCTGTCATCCTTTTGATAGATGCCATCCTTGGGTGAACTATGCTCATTATAATCTCATTATGATACCAAAACATACCTCCATCTCAAAAGCTACCAGCCTCCAAGGTGTGACCACCCCTAAATGAGCTCGCATGTTCAATTTTTCTAGTCTATACTTTTAAATGCAAAGCAAGGGAAATTTACACCAATCAAATAAAGATATGCACGCCTAGAGCCACTCAAATGCCACCTGAAAGATAACAAATAATATAAAAATGGCCCAAGAGACGGGGAGATGTTAGGCAAGATACCACCATCGTCAGGGGAGACACCACCATGGACGGCCTCTGACTCCTGGGATCAGTCGATGGGCTGAGCCTTTCTTCCCCCCCATAGGGATGCCTTTGGGTAAGGTCCAAACACTTGGTTTCAACAAGTGCTGCCCCGGGATACTTAGAAAATCTTTACAGAGCTGCTCATAATCTATTACATTTGTAACTTTTGCACGTGCTTTGCAGTCAGTCACTATCACCGGCAATCAAAACAAATTTGTATATCTGTTGCTTGAATAAATTATATTTGATTGCAATCTGGCCATTTAAGTCCCTGTTGAACCTTTTTCTGTGGAGTTTGGCTGTGTGAGTATTTCATTCTGATCTGATCATGTGAGTCCCTTACGGCCTCATAATTCCAGGGGTGCTGTCAGATTGAAGATACATATTGCCACCCTTGTGAAGGCTGGCTGTCTAATTCCAGGGACGTTGCCAGATCGAAGGCAATTGGACGTGTCGTGGTAGTAACATGGAATTGGGCATCACTCAGAACCTAAGCCTAGCTGCCCCCAACCCCTCTGATATCTGAGGACAAGCTGGAGCGCAAGGAGATTTAGCTTCTGCCAAACTGATTCGCAACAGGAATTGTTGTGTCTCTCCTTTTAACGCACCAGTAGAGCAACTATTTCTCAAAGAGTTAGTTGATTCTGTTTCTGCACAGCCTGATTGAAAAGCAACATTACAGCTGGATCCTTTGTTACTCTGCTACGTAATACAGGCCTTCTCTCTAATCAAACAATTAACAGCCAAGCTGTCAGGATCATTAGTCATCTGTCCAAAAGCTACGGCAACCTGCTAAGTCTGCAGGCATTTATTTCAGTAGACATAGACTGACTTTCGGTCATCTGCCAAAGACCCCCAGGTTGCAACTGGTTCATACAGAGATTGAGAGAGGAGCAATATGACCATTTCCTCGGGCAATGTAGAGGTGATAAAAGCACCAGGCGAAACAGATGCATAAAGCATGAAAACGTCTCATTTGCTTTCCTAGTTCCTGTGTTCTCAGGTAGGATAGTATTCATGCTGCCCTACAGTTGTGCTGGCAATCCACATATGCTGATAACTTCAGAAGAACATGCAAAAAGTCATTGAAAAGTTTACTCTAAATTATTACAGTTTAAAAGCTTAGAAAAAAGAGCAACAGGAAGATGTCAAGACAGTAATAGAAAAAAAAAGTCATGTTTTCTCTCTTTTGATCTTTGCTATAGATGTGAGGTACAAGGGAGACAAATTTTGTATTTTATATACTCCATATGATATACTTTATGTGGTTTTCACATTTTTCTTAGCATGTCTACTGCTTTGATTTCTGGGCTAAACCCTGAATTAACATACTACCCACCATCTTCCCTGATTACACCGTTTTGTTTCATTTAACAATGACCAACTAGTGACTTGAAAAATCATGAATAATATTAATTAAATAAGAATACTATTCAAAATTTCTTCCAGTACTAGAGGGAATGCTGATAAGTATCAGCCAGAATCACATTTAAAAAAATTTTTGTACTTCCATAAAACCAGGGAGATACTGTCCAGTTCTCTCATTATCTTTGACAATATTGTTGGAGTCTATCAGTGATTTCCTAAAGATACTCTTTGCATTGTAGGTTTCCGGTCTTCATGCCTGGTAACTGCCCTTATCCCTCTTTATTTCAGGTTTTAAATACAGTTAGAAAGTCAAACCATGTCTATTGCAGCCTACATGTGTAGAGAAAATATTTTCAGAACTTCCCAATATTGATTTCCTCTTTTTGTCATTTATACCTTCTAAAGGCATGGCAATAGGTGAAATATCTACTATGGCTCTTTTTCTACGCTTTCTGCACATTTCTACCTCATATAAAGATGCATTGGGATAGATTCAGAGACTATTTTCTGTGTGGAAAATTGCATAGGCAGTAATAGGCATTGTATGACAGCACTGGAAAAAAATCACTTTGTCTCATCAGCATTTCTAGGATTTGTGTTATTGTTGAGACTCCAGATGTTGTTGTGGGTCTTAGAAGTTATACAATCAGTTTACACTCACAGAGAATGAATTATTTTGTAGGTAAGTAAACATAAATTAGTAGATCCTGTTCCAAAGGGACACTAATAAGTGATTATTGTGACTTTTTTGGCTATGTTTGTACTTTTGACATTCATAGACAAAAATTTTCCAAAGCTATTAATGGTATTTACTTTTTGCGTTCTTGTCTTCTGCCTTGTCTTTCAATTATGAGAATCTCTGTATCGTTGTGTGACTGCTTGGCTCTGTGCTTCCAAATTCGGGCAGGATTTGAGTTGAAATCTGTTGAAATTAGTGTATAAGCTGCCATTGTTTTGAATCAATCCTTTTTGGATGAAAAAGTTCTGATCTTCTGCAGTTGGAAGAGTAACACTCATTTAAAACTAAGGAAGGCATGACATTTTCTAATTGCTACAGTACATGGCTAGGTTCTAGGCAGACTTGCCCAAGATTTTTAGGTACAGCCATAAGCTAAAAGACAACAATAATAACCTTGGTAAGGTAACGCTCCTGAGAAGAATTTGTGCAAGAATTTCTGCATCCATATTTGCCTGCCCTGTTAAACAAATGTAATTCAAGATATTCCTTGATTTTTAGAAATTTCATACTTGAGAGATGTGTAATTATAGAATAGATATTTGTTTTAGAAAAAATAACTCTGTTTATAGTTAATGATCAAATATGTGATAAATCCAGCATATGCCATAAAAGTGGTGCTCAGCCTCTAGTAGACATGATAACTACGCTAATACCTTAAAACATCTAAATGCTGTCAGAAACAGGGAGTGATCTAAACCAGCTTCAGTTCTAAATCATCAATTTCCCTACCTAGAATTTCAAGCCTGTTCATTTTGCATTGTTTTTACTGCACTTACATATTTCTCCCTACAGGATAATCAGTTCCCCTCTCCTTTACCTGCCTTTTTTTTTTTTTCCCAGCTAAACTGATGCTTTTGATATTACATGCTATGAAATAGCTGGGTATCTTGTTCTGAGAAAGCAGCAGATCTCATGAAAATTTACATCAGTTGGATTGTTCCCTTCTCCTCCAAAGAGTAAGTACAACTTGGCAATGAAGATAAGTTTGTAGTCATGAGTCCTGTCTTCCAAACTGAGCTAGCCTGAGCGTGGGTTGCCAGATACTGTCCAAAATGCTCGATGATTTTTGCCTGTAGTAGGTAAAAATAAGTCATCATTTTCACATGCTTGTGAGGCTCTTAAGGCATCTCCTCTTAGCCTGAAATAATTCTTTTCACTTGCTAGTTTTCTTCAGATTGCACATTGATGTTATTTTATGTGCTATTGTCAGGTTTCCATTACACTCACATTATTCTTATTTTCAGTTATATTATTCTTATTCCCTATAGGTACCCTCAGTAATTATCTTTGGCTAAGATAAAACTCTGTTGTTTATCTCCCTGTCTGGTGACTGCCCTTTAAAGATGTGGATTGCTTGTGTGAAATGACTCATACAGCTGTACTCATGGAACTTTTAACTATTGGCTGTCTGACTGAAGTAAGTCCAACGACAAAGATCAGATGAAAAGCAGGCTACTTGTCTTTCCTGTTTGAGTGATAAGCCAGCATCTTAGCTTTTGCACAAAATAGATTACAAAGACTTAGCAGGCAGTCATTTTAACAAACAAGATGGGGAGGAGGTGGGAAAGCCTTGCCCATTCCCTCCGTAATGCCTTTGTACAAGAAAGACTCAGCTGACCAGAGTACTGACAGCTCTCTACTACTGAGTCTTTCATAACAAATCTAATTTATTCTAATTTGCCAGTACACTAACAATTACAATGACATATCTAACTTGTTCCCTAAGTGACTTTTAGCAACAAATTTGCTTAATTAACATAGTGAGATATTGTTTTATAGCTGCAATTGTTACACTCAAATTTGTCATATAAGTTTGGTAGCATTTTCCTCGAAAGCTGTCATTGTCATAATTAAAGACAGTGGAAATTGTGCAATGACTATCAGATGCAGATTTTAAAACATCTCCTTAGTTGAGCTGTATC